TTGACCGATTCCTTCATTCTTTGCATGTGCCTAGCACTTATGTGGGACATATGCACATGCAGTGGTTTAGCGATTCGATTCAAAATGGCCGACTGGCAGCCATCTTGTTTTTGAAAATGTTGTATTTTGGACATGCTTTGTCAGTTGTCATTCAAACTTGGTACATAGATTATACATGTTAGGATACATGTCCATGACGATTTATTTCGCAATTGGATCAAAAATGGTCGACTGGCAGGCATCTTGTTTTGTTTTTTTATGCGGTATCTTGGACGTGCTCTGTCAGTTTTCATTCAAATTTGGCACATACATGTACTTTATACATGTTAGGATGCATGTCCATGACAATTTGTTTCAAAATCTTGTCAAAGCTGGCCGATTGACAGCCATCTGACTATTTGGCCTTACTACTATATTTCCACAATTTATGTACCATTTTCATTTGTATTTGGCACATACATCATACATATCAGTGTGTTTCATAATCAGATCAAAGATGGACGAATAACGGATGTTTTAATTTTTGGCCATATTACTACTACACAGAACACGTGTTTTGATGTAAATAAACAATCTGTTGTATACGCCACTTGGAACTCAAGTTTCAAGAACACACTCGCGACAAGCCCTCCGCTTTTATATGACGAGCACAAAGAGAACTTTCAAACATTTAACGGGGACTGTGTCATTTTCAATGACTTGTTTGTTCTGTAGATGTTGTATTCAATGTATATTACGGAACAAATTATCACAAATGAGACCCCTTCCTGTCTCAAGGTAGTTGACTACCATTAAAACTTATCACCAGATTTCCACATGATGGATTTACATTTAATGCTGTTGCTCACAAATCCAGATTAAAAAGTATGGTCACCGAACCCTTTTTCACATAAAAGAAAATGTGTCCAACATCCATAAAAATGATAATTTTGTTGCTATGGTAATGACCTTTAGTCACATCTAAATCTGTGTTTGGGTACATATCATTTATTAAATGAGTACTTATAGTTGTCACATATTATTGAGAAGTTGTGATAAATACTATTTACTTTTTATGAATATGGTATTACATTATAATTCCGAAAAGGACCAAAAATATTTTGTTTAAAGATAACAGAAGTTTTAAATTTGGGTCTTGAGAGTTATTGCAGTCAGTGAATCAAATGATTTAGTGTAATTGCGTTAGATTCAACATCTTGGTGTTGTATTTACCTGTAAGATATCACATAAGACTTTGTTTTTTTAACACAGTTTTTCATTTTTGTTAAATTCTAAACTAGACAATTTTTGATAATACTTGAAATGTTTAGTGTTCTTAACAATGGATCACACAAGAACTTCAACTATTTCTTATTAAATGCATGGAGTACCTTATCTGTATGACATTTATTTTGTACAAAACGATTTTTAATAATAATTTTGTTCGGCTACATCTATGCCTTGACAACAGAGTACATACTTCAAATCAAAAAAACTTGTATTGAAAAGAGCACATGTGAAAACATTTTAATATAATATAGTGTAGTTTATAGGTAGCAAGTTTTGTGTCCAATTGGTACTTGACATTTTATCGACCATTCCAATATTTTAAAATAATTGTCAAGTCCTAATTTATTTTCTGAATAATCTGGTTAGTAAGAGAATAAGTCTAATGTAACTGTGAAGACATTAATTATACACTTAGTTTTAATTTCACCAGTAAGTAAATCCATGTGAACGTTTTGACAATATTTTTACAACTTAATATTTTACTGTAAAACTGTTCATTTCAAACATCATAAATAGGATCAAAATACAGAAATTAAATATCAGTAAAAATGAATGATTTTATTGTAGTAGACATTTAGATGCAGATAGTAATTTCAGTTTCTAGATGTGTTAGGTGAGATTTCTTTAAGACTGCAAAGTGAGACTTGTCTTTAATTTTGTCACTTTATGTATTAGTAGTTTGAAAAAGATGCATGGGTAGGAAAAGGAGCAACTTATGAACACAAACTCAGGAGGTGCTGAACTCAGGTTTTCTATGAATATTGCAATATTTTATTCAATTCATACATTACAATACTTATTTTCAATTTTTGCAATTTGTGTTATTTCTTACATCAATTTATCGCCATATTTCTGAGTTGATATTTACTAAATGTTTTTTTGTTTATTTGTACACAAGTTATTGTCTCAGAAAGACCAAAATATTGGTTATTTGAAATATTGTATTCAGTATTTGTGTAGATGATATAGTTTATTTTTATCAAATTTAACAAGATGCTGTTCTAAGTGATTACTACTCTAGATTATCCAGCAAAAAGTAATACGATTGGTAGTTGGTTTTCATGTGACCAGCATGTGACCAAGTGAGATCATCACATGGATTAGCATTTGTTATGTTACCTGGTATGTTAAACATGTGCCATAACAAATATTTTATAGTGTTAATTTACAGAATAATGAAAAAATGATTCAAAAATGTGATTTTGAGAGAAAATTTTAACAGCTGTGTTATGTGAATGATTGTGCTGATTTATGGTATGCGATGAATTACAGAATTTTGAGTTGAGGTCTGTGATGCCATGCTGGCCATGTCAATGTGAATATTATACATGTATAAGTAAAAGAAAGTGTATACAAATATTTGTGTGTTATTTGTCTGTTCCCTGGTCCACAGAATACTCTCTGGCACCCTGGCTACTCTGCTTCCCTGGCCCCAGATGGTGATTCTGAAGGGTAAGATTCCACGGTGAACATTCTTGGACATGTCCATTCAGTGATGTTACAGATCACATTCTGTGAGAGATCAATGTTCTTAGGAATGATATCACAGAGCCTAATAGATTTTTGGAAAAGTTTGTGTGAACAAAAAGGAGCAAGCTACTGTCCTATGACAAAAATAGTGTAGTCTTAAAGATTTATACAGGTGACTGATTTGTATCAATATTTTGAGATCTCTGCAATTTTCTGATCATTTCATAGGTTACACGATTTCAAACTGGATCTAATCGTGACTACATCCATGTTAAATTTAGTCTTACAATTTCAACTAACTGGAATTACCTGTTTTGTCACATAAAATGTGATAGACTCAGAAGACCAAGTAATTGTGGAATTGTAATTTGAGACAAAAACACCACTATCATGAGGATTTCTCAATTATGTCTTACAAAAATTGTGATTTAAGCTCAAAAAGGTGCATATATTGTAACCTACTGGTGTAGAGCGTAATTAAGATTACACTCAGACTTGCTTACAATTTTTTTTAAATAAAAAAATCTCTGAAAATAACCATAATTGTAAATATCAAATGATTACAAATAAAAAAATCTGTATCCTCTGCATGTGCCCTCTGACCAGGTTTCTAATCAGTGATGCAATTGGCGCAACTGATTTATTTCTGGAAGAGGCAGATTACGCTAATCTGTAACCAGCATATTATATGCAGATGACATTTGACAAAGAAAACTATTGCCAGTTTCGTTATTATATTGTCCGCTCGTACTTTATAATTTAGCCTTTTGAGATGTCCTGAAATGACTCACTGAGGTGGCATTGAAAAAGATTATGCTACACACTTCAAAATCCAGGGAAATGTTAGTGTATACCGCCCTCTAGCAGTTCTGTGTATAAAACTTCTGTTTTTATAGCGTACGTATGCGTTTCCCTGCTTCAAAAACAGTACAACATTCGAGAAAACAGTCTCCATTTATGAATACAAGAAATAAATGTTTCAAATTGGTAGATGAAACGGGCAGCTGTATGTCGCAGAGGAATAGTGACTGCCTTTTAAGCCAACTCGTTTCTCACTTCCGGAATTCTGAGATAACTTCTCCGAAAATAAGTCGTGCTGTCTAAAATTGAGACAAAACAAAATATTAGCCTTTCGTAAGTACAATTACAAAGGGTAAAAATTAGTGACGTCAGAGGTGAAAAGATCTTCGGATTCATTTAAACTGTCTACGGCGGAGTGCTAATTCGTGAAGGACGTTTGTTATTTTTGTGTCGAGTAGTTTCGTTGTCGGGAGTTAAGCCCGATAATATCGTATAATTTTGGTCTGAACCCATATTTCTACAACCTCGAAATAACCGCAAGAACATGGTAAAGTCACAAGTTGCCACTGAAGAATAGTGTTGAAACTTTACCACACGCACATCATAAAACCACGTACACTGGTAATCAGAGTGTAATGCCGTTGCCAAGAGCACGCGGATCTCAAGATTTATTAACAAATCTGTGGAATAACTACGTATACACCGGGGGTAATACATAGATGAAAGAAATTGAAAACTAGTAACGATGGTACATAGAATAGTAAAAACTGCGATCCCCGTAAGCGGCACACAAGCTGTGCAGAAAAAAAAACAGAAATAAAAACCCGAATAATTACGGGACTAAAATCCTCTGGAAATCTGCACCCGCCATATGCTCGAATGCACCTGAGGGAGAGGCGGGTTTCACTCCTTGCTATGCATGTAGTGCAGTTGTACATCTACAAGTATGCTTACTGCAACAAACAAATAATGCTGTTATTTGGGAAATAAAAACTGAATGAAAGGAGTGTAGAACACAAAGCTGCCAAATGCTACGTGGCAACGCGAAACTCAAAAATTACACACAAGCCACCGTGGCATGCGGGGAGCGCCCTCTAGGGACCATGTAAACATCCATTTCCTGCTATGCTGCGTACCGTGGAAAATATCATGTTCATGCTTTCCAACTTGAGGGGTATGATAAGGCCGGAAATATCATGTTCATGCTTTCCAACTTGAGGGGTATGATAAGGCCGACACATATTGCAAAACTGTTTTGCTATAGATGAACGTATGTAGAAATAGGGATCAGAAGCAGGGATCGCAAGACTAAATCGTTTATAGCATCTTGATTGCTCCCGAAGAAACATTTCTTCGAAAACCATTGGAGAAAAGTGCAACAATCTGGTTGCTAATAAGGCAGATCTGTGATTAGATATCATTAAACGTGATTGGTTGATAAAACCCATAATCATCTGTAATCATCTGTAAGTGTGGATGGAAATGTTTGATTTTGGTACATGTAAAGTTTATTGTGATAAAAAAGCAGGTTAGTAGTCAGCGATATTGGGATCTGATATCACGGTAATAAGCACAGTTTAAGATTTATCGACCTGCTACATTCCTTGCCGTTTTTTATGCGTTGGTCAATTTCGTCAACTGATGACGTACTAGCTATGGTAA